GAGGTCTGCCAAGTTGACGTCGTCAACCACCTCCGCAGCATCCCCCGCCACAGAAGTAGTAGCAGCAGCAGCAGCAGCAGGGACAGAACTGACGGCATCAACCCCAACCAGCAACAGGCGCAACAGACGCCGCAGCCGCAGGGATAGCGCTCACGGCGACTTGTTGGGCGGCAGTAGTAGTGGCAGCCGAGAGAGCACCCGATGCTACCGCATCAATGGCAGAAGCGGGTGCCACCATAGTTGCAATGGGGCTTGCCACGACCGCCGAGGTTGCGGCTATCGCCTGGGTAGCACTGGCTGCAGCAACCGACGTCGAGGCGGTGGCTGAGGGCACTGATGCCGCGGGGGATGATGAGATGTCGGCGGCTGCTACGGCTGTGGCGATGGTGACCCCGGCCTCGTCCGCGGGGACCGTGGCGATGGTGAAGCCGGCCTCGGCGGCTGTCGTGGTTACCGTAGCGAATGTGTCCGGGGGGGCCGTGGCGATGTTGAAGGTGCCGTCGTTGGTAGCAGCCCCTGAGTTGCCTGCTCCCACCGCGCCCACCGCGTCCACGCCTCCCGTGGCGCACTGCCGCTTAGCCTTCCGGCCGCGTCGCAGCTTGGTGCGCTTCATGGTCTTCTTGGCCTCGGCTACTTCGCGCTTGAAGACGCCTGAGGGGGTTAGCCGTCGATGTCATTGATAGTGGGACGGCTACAAAACTACACGGAAAGACAGGGTACTCACCCAGGTTGAACCCGCCCAGGACATGCCCGTTGTTAAACAGCGACTGGATACCGCCCAGATCCAAGAACCCCAGCTGCTCCAGCTGCATCAGCTGCGCAAGCTGGAAGAACAAATCGACATCGTTGTTGAACCCAAAGCTCAGGATATTGTTCCGGTCGAGGGTATTGCCCAGACAGAAGCCGCCGAGCATGGCCAAGATGGCCTCTGCGATGACGTCCTGGTTCCCGAGGTCGACGGTGCCGAGATTCAGGCCGCCCACTTCCAGGCCATCCAGACCCAGCTCCCCTAGGTTGAAGTCTGCCAAGTTGAAGCTAGAGGCGCCGCTGTTGCTGATGTTGAGGTTGTTGATGCCGATTTGGCGTGGGAGGTGGATGCGTGCCGTCGCTAGGCCGGCGGTAAGAAGGAACCCCAGAGCCTTCATCGTGAGAAGCTAATGGGTTGAGTGAAAAACGGTGGCAAGAATGAATGAAGGACGGTGAGCACAGCTTTTGGGGGGTAAGTAAAAGCCCAAGACGGGGGATATCACCACTTACCTCAAAATATATTAACAACAAGTAAAAATGAAGGTAAGAAATAGAAACTAAAAAGAGGGAACAATGAATGAAACGGGCTTGAAGGTCTCGTAGGGAGCGAAACCAAAGGCCCTTTTGTTCTTAGCCTAGAGAAGGATGGAAATAAGATGACATGTCCTTTCCTAATTTCATGCCTCATTGGGCTGGACATGCCACCATACGGATGGGATGATGGGATGTCGATGAAACGGGAAACGGTATAAGCCGGAAGGGCGGGAAAAGCCAAGACGAGGAGGGCATGACACATTTCTCACCGGCCGTGAAACACCATCCGTGCCGCTATCTAAGCTATGTGAAGTAACAGACGGTCCGCCGCTAGGGTAGAATAAAAGTTGTAAAGAATAGTTTGATGTTGGAGACGGGCAGGAGTACAACTGTGCAAGGTGGAGAATTAGGAGGAGTGGAGGCGAGATATTCAACTTTGCTGTAGCCCGTGAAGATTAAGGATGGAGATGGTGTGTAGGACGGATCGCTACCAAGGAGAACTTTTCGATTTTCGACATCAGGATATATGCCGTGGAACGAAGATCAGAACGTGGGCCAAGCCCGCCTCGCTTTAGCGAGACCGGCAAACAGTAGACCGAGGGCGTGGAAGCCGGAACGTGTGTGTAGATTGATCTATTTTCATTTCCTTGTTGTCGGTAACCTTCAACGCCGTCATGGTGAATCTGGGCGTAGTTAGCAGGCTAGTTCCGGCACCGTGGAAATGGGATGGCAAGTGATAATGGTTACTCCCAGCAATAGTAGTTCAGCTGTGTCAAGGTATCCGGATAAGCTGTTGTGCGCCAGTTTGTCATTACTCTTCACCGGATATCCTCGGATACCGTGAACCGGTCGCTCATGACGTGGCCTTGGAGTTGTTTGATGTAAAGTGATTCCTGTTTCGTGGGTTGCCACCCTCACAGACTGCACTTTCGGAAACGGCCGAGGAGTGAGCATGGAAAGAATGGAACATCCTGGTGTTGCCCTTGTCCGCCCCATGGCCGAGCGATGTCCATTTCCTCCAAAATGTGCTCGACATTCGGGCCATTGGATGCCCTTCTGGTGTTCGGGCAGGGATGCCGTCGGGAACCGCAAATATTGCTTCATATTCTGAATCATGGCCGCTACCGTGTAGATGACCACCAAGGGTATACCCACGCCCATATCCATGCCCCCTTTGTATCCCCCTCATTCCTTTTTTGAGATTACACATCTCTGCCAGCCCTGGCAACCCCCCCTTCCATAGCACACATTCCACCGCATTGGTTTTTTCCACCCTGTCATACCCGCCACCCCATTCGTTACCTAACCGGCCTGGTCTTCTCTCCGCCCTCTTTCCCTCCACCATCACCACCACCAGCACTACCCGTACCACCATGAAACCCCAACCATTCACCCAATATCCCCCCCGGCTTCGGCACCGGACACTCCCTCCCCGCCCTCCTCCTAGCAGCCATCCCCTCCCCCCTTTCCGAGGACGGCAACGGCGACGATCGCGGCCTAAACTCCACAACCCCCACCCCATCCTCACCACCACCACCCACCACCCAACCTCTCCTCCGCACCCCCCCGAGAAGAAGATGACACTTCACCCCTGCTACTCCGGCGCCTCACCCTCCTCACCACCCCACCGTTTTGTTGTTGGCCCTGTTGCTGCTGCATGGCCATGTCCCCCTCATCGGCATAGGCGCGGCGCGGCGCGGGGCAGGGTAGGATGTGGGGGAGGGCGACGACGAGGAAGCTAGCGAGGACGGTGGTGGCGAAGAGGGAGGAGGTCATGCGCGAGCGCGGGTGGAGGTGTTGGCGGGGCCATGGTCCCTTTCTTTGGGGTTCCCTTTTTTTTGGTGTGTGGTGCCGTTTGGAGGGGTTGGAAGGTTTGTTTAGGTGACGGTGTTGGGCTTTGGGAAAGTCGGGCGGCTGGTTGTGGGGTGCTCAATCTGGGTGCGTTGGAATATGTACTGATGCTCAATTCGGCATACAAGTGGGATTAGACCATGACGCGAGAGAGGGCCCCGTCAATGCGGCCTTGGCCGGGTTTGAGTGAGGCCGAATTGAGGTGCTGGATAACTACCTCGGGCAGCTTCGGTGGTGAACTTGGAAGCTTGAAAGTTTGGAAGCTTGATCCAAGTTCGAAATTCCGCATGCATGGGTTGGCGGGTGACGCGGGGTGTAGGGTTAGGGTTTAATCCGTTTGACTGACAGGACGGAAATGCTGGCCCAGAATCTTTTTCAGGGTGTTCCTGGTGACGGGCTGGGGGCACACATCCAACAGGGGTGCCCAGCTCATTCCGGGGTTCCGTTTTGCCATCAAAATCATGTATCGGACCTCGGAGGGGCTCAGCTTCGGGGCGGCCACTGCGTGGTGCGGTTTCAACTGTTCCAGTGGCCTCTACACGTTTGCAAGTTTTGGAAATGGTAGCCAAGCTGCAATCGAATTTTGCTGCCAGCGACTTTCTTGAAACCCCGGCCTTTCGTGCCGACAAAATCCAAGCCCGTTCTACCGGGGTAAGGTATTTTCGGTTCCTCTGGGTGGATTCGGTATTAGCCGATGATTCTGTGACAGAAGTCGCCATTATGGCTTAGTATTGAAGTCGTTGTGGTTGTTGAGAGGTGATGATTGGAGGTAAATATGGGACGCCGCGATGCTCAACGCGACTCGTTGAGTGGGTCGATAATGATATGAACTCGCGGCTAAGAATGGTTGAGCTCGGAAGCTGAAGAAAAAGAAAAAAAAAAAGAGGGGGGGGGTGGGGGGGGGGGGGGGTGAATAAAGGGAGAAGAGATAAAAGGGGAATAGATTAAAGAAGAAGAAGTTAAAGGGGAAGAGATAAAAGAAGAAGAGATAAAAGAAGAAGAGATAAAAGAAGAAGAGATAAAAGAAGAAGAAAGTAAGAACAGTTAACAAAGTGATTAATTAAATTTCAGATAGTTAACTCTGTCTTCATTCTTCAAGTCGAGCTCGGTAGACATCTATAGTTACTTGGAGTCCAACTTTTCTCGCCCATAAAACGAGGGATTCATTGACCCGCATCCTAAATCCCACAAACTACATCTAATACAAAGACATACACATATGCCTACACATACATGATACACAATATAACACATTAACCCCTCGTAGCCAGGTACACCGATATGAGACAGCCAACCCCCAGGCATATCCAAATCACATAAACCATCACCATGAATCAGCGGCACAAGCCGAGATAGTCTCAGAAGATCCTTGAGTCTAGCTATCAAAAGCAAAATGTTGTTCTAACCAGTCATTCAAGAAAACAAAAAACACCGCCCAAAACAAATGCTAGACAACTTTTTCCGACCCCTCCCGTATATATAGAACAAAACAAAAAAAAACTCCGCTTCTATCTATTGGACCCAGCCTCTACGACATGACCAGCGCAAGCAGAGCCATGCGGCAGTAAAGACCGTATCTCATCTGCAATCATAGTTAGCAACACGTTCACATACGGTCAAGGACTAGGTACCCCTAAAAGGGGGAAAAAAAAAGACTCACCTGTCTGAAATAAGCCGCGCGCTGGTCGAAATCGACCTCCTCCGCGACCTCCTCGTTCCTCGGCAGCGGATGCATAACCACCATGTTGGACTTGGCATGCTTGAGGGTGCCGTAATCAATGCGGTACGAGTCCTTGACTGCCTCGTACTCCTTGGGGCTTTCGAACCGCTCCTTCTGCACGCGCGTGCAGTACAGGACATCCGTCCGCCCCAGGATCTCCGGCGTCAGCGCCTCCGACTCGCAGAGCAGCGCGCCCGTGTCAACGAGCTGCTGGCGGACCGTCGCAGGCAAGGCGAGTGTCTTGGGCGAGACGAGCTGCACCTTGACCTCGTAGTGCTGGAGCAGGTAGACGAGGGAGTGCACCGTCCGGCCGTGGAGAAGGTCACCGACGAAGGTGATGGTGAGGCCCTGCATGGTGCCGAGCTCCTCACGGATGGTGAAGAGGTCGAGGAAGGCCTGGGTCGGGTGCTCCTTGCTGCCGTTGCCGCCGTTGATCACCGGCACGGGGGAGTACTTCTTGGCGACGTCCACACACTTTTCATCCGGGTGGCGGAGAACCACTGCATCTCCGTAGCAGGCGAGGGTGCGGAGCGTGTCCTGGAGTGTCTCACCCTTTTGGACGGACGAGGTGGATGTCGTGATTGCGATAGTCCGGCCGCCGAGGCGCTGCATGGCCGCATCGAACGAGGCCGACGTGCGCGTTGAGGGCTCGTAGAAGAGGGTACACAGCAGACGGCCACGGAGGATGTCGAGGACGCCTTCACGCTGCACCCCGAGACGCATTTCCTGGGCAATGTGGAAGAGGAGACGCAGGTCGGAGCGCGTGTACTGCTTGACGGACAGAATGTGCGCCTTCTTGAACGACGACGGAACAGAGAGCATTTCCTGCAACGGCGAAATGGTCGGCTGCATACTCAAAGGGAGAGCAAGGTCATCGACTCCATGTGTCCGAGCTAGGGGAACGAGAGGACCCATGCTTTCCGTGGCCTTTGGCCTGCCATGCGCCGACCGGAGCTGACGGCGGTCATCGAGGATGGGCGACATGGGGTGGTGCACAGGCTTGACAGCAGGCGATGAAATGGCGGCATTAGGAGGTATGGCCCCATGGGCAGACATGTCACTGCCCCTTGGCTGCGTGGGAACAATAGACCCATCAAGGCAGACGACTTGGTCCTGGAAGGTGACGCGCTGGATAGTAGCCTTCAGGACCTTGCCCGCGAGGGGAGTCCAAGGACCGGTGGCTTCCAAGGTATACGGGCGGTCGATCTCGACTTCCAAGGCTGCGCCCAACTGATCGTGGAGCTCGAAGATCTCCCTCGGGTTGTCGTGGAGCTTGGCCTTGACATCGCCGACAGTAAGCTTGCCCTCGGCGACCGAAGTCAAAAGAAGCGGCAGCGCATCGGCAATGCCGACGGCCACATCCGCATCCTTCTTCAAGAAGTGAGCAAGCTGGTAGGGCAAGCTGCCGATAGAGAAGACATCAATCGTCTCCAAGTGCTCCCAGAGGGCAACCTGGTCCTCCGCCGTAGGCAGGAACTGGCACCCAGGGTAGTCTTTCTGCGACAGATGCAGCGAATAAATGCTGACGTCGCAGGTGACCTTGAGGCTTTTCTCCTTGCTGAGGGCGATGAGCTTGATATCGTCCTTGGTGGTTACCGCCGTGACGTGGATACGGCGGCTGTGCAGGCTGGCGAGTAGTAGAACGGATGCCAGATCCGTGGTCCGCGCGTCTGTGATGATCGGCTTGTGTGTAGGCCAGGCTTCAAAGTGCGCCTCCACCGCGGCAACCTTGCTAATGTTGTCCGAGAGGTGGTTGAACGGAATAAACAGGGAACCGACCTCACCGGCAGCGTGGCTGATTTGATGGGCGTTGTCTGACGTCGCCGCAATGGACAAGTTGAAGTCGCAGTACGCGCCGCGCTTGCTGTTTTGCTGGGCGACCTTCAGCGACTTGACGTCTGTGATCGAGCCCTCCTTGCCGACGGGCATGACCCGGATCATGCTGAAACCAGCAGCGATAGAGGCCTGGGTCACGCGCTGGAGGTCATCGCTATCCCTGGAGACCAAGCCTGGAACAAAAGCAGCGATGTTGATCAACCCAGGTAGCTGGATCGTGCGGTGGCTGGTCTGATAGTCGCGGACACCGATGTCGAGGTCGAAATGCCTGGCGAGGGCTTCAATCAGGATCTTGGCGTTCTTCACGTTGGTAACGAGCGGGACCTGATAATCGACAGCCATACGGCGGGTTTGGTATCCCTTGCTCATGTAGTTGGCCGGGCGTCTGTACTTATTGTTGGAAGGCAGGTTGATGTACAAGTCGATCATGTTCTTGGCCAAATGTTGCGAAAGCGAGTACTCGGACTTTTGGTCCTCTCCCTTAGGAAGGACCTCGACGTACTGCACTTGCACGCCATGGGTGCCAAGGAAGTCTGCGGTTCCGGCTGTGGCAAACAATTTGTAGCCCATCTCCTGCAGCTTCTTGATTGAAGGCAACATCTCCTCCTTGTCCTTGTAGGAGCCGATGGAGAGAAGGATGTTGTTTTTGGGAATCTTGAAGCCTGTCGAGAGCAAGGCCTTGAGGTATGCCTCGTACTTATCGGCACCGAAGGACGCAACCTCACCGGTCGAAGCCATTTCGACACCAAGAACGGGATCAGCGCCAGAAAGTCGCGAGAAGCTGAACTGGGGAACCTTGACGCCCACGCAGTCCGGCGGGCACTGAATCTCCGGATACTCTTCGAACGGAATGTTCATGATTGCCTTGGTGGCCATCTCGATGAGATCAACGCCCATGACCTTGGAGACGAAGGGGAACGAGCGAGAGGCGCGAACGTTGCACTCAATCACCTTGATATCGTTGTCCTTGGCGATGAACTGAATGTTGAAGGGGCCCGTGACGTTGAGGGCATCGCCGATCTTGCGGGTCGCCTCCTCGATGCGCTGAATGGTTGTCTTGGACAAATCCTGTGGGGGGACGATGAGCGTGGCATCACCAGAGTGAACACCAGCGTTTTCGACGTGCTCCGAGATAAAGTGACCAACGACCTGGCCGTCCTTGGCCACGGCGTCCATCTCAATCTCCTTGGCATTCTCAATGTACTTGGTGATCACAACCGGATGTTCGCGTGAGACCTCAGCGGCTTGCTGGAGGTAGCTTTGCAAATCATGCTCCGAGTAGACCGTGTTCATCGCCGCACCAGAAAGCACGTATGACGGGCGCACTAATACCGGGTACGAGACCTTCTGGCAGAAGGCCCTTGCCTCCTCGAAGCTTGTCAACTCCTTCCAGGTCGGCTGGTCAACCCCGATGCGGTCAAGCATGCGAGAGAACTTGTACCGATTTTCAGCAGTGTCGATCATTTCAGGGGAAGTGCCCAGCACGTTGACACCAGCACGCAGGAGCGGCAGCGCGATGTTGTTTGGTGTCTGGCCGCCCATGGCTCCGAGAACACCGCTGGCAGACTCCACCTCGTAGATGTCCAACACCGTTTCAACGTTGATGTTCTCAAAATACAACTTGTCGGCCTCGTCGTAATCAGTCGACACGGTCTCGGGATTGTACTTTTTTGGGATGTTAGCATTGTTTCTATATATTTCTTGTCAAGGGGAGATGGGGGTTCTGTTTCTTTGAAAGGAAGGATGTGATCAGGGCTCGTTGGGGTTTCAGGGACTTCGAATTCTCCCGGACATAAAGGGTTTCGTGATGCAACGAGTCTTCTCGTCAATCTCGAAAAAAGCAAATGCGACTCCTTGCCCACATAATGTGTTTGGACACTGGAACGACACTTGACTGGAGGGCCTAGACGGCATTCTGATGTTGTCCGTTTCGATAGCGCGTCGCGGGGAAGGTTGCCGCCGCGGAAGGATCAAAACCAGCGCGGAAGGGTCGACGCCGGCGCAGCGGCGTAGCGTTTTGATAAGTCCAGGCCGGTCATTGAGTCCAGGTCGACGCGAGGTTAAGTTGAGCATCCTTCACTTGAAGGAAGCAAGCGAAAACAGAATAAATTCAAATGGTGTGTGGAGTGGGAATAACGAGGGGTTCGTTTGCAGCCAAGGTAAAAAAAAGGAAACCTATACACTTACATTAACCATGATAGTCTTGCAGTTCGACTCGCGAAGGGTGCGAATTGCCCTCACGGAACACCAGTCGAACTCGACCGAAGAGCCGATGCGGTACACACCCGAGCCAAGCACCATGACGCCGTTGTCGTCGAACGTGATGTCATGCGCGCTGGCGTTGTAGGTGAGGTAGAGGTAGTTGGTGTAGGCGGGGAACTCGGCGGCCACCGTGTCGATCTGCTTCACGAAAGGGGTGATGCCGGCCTCAAGACGCATGCCACGAACGGCGAGCTCGGTAGAGCCCCAGAACTTGGCAATCTGACGATCACAGAAGCCCAGTTGCTTGGCCTGGAGGAGGATCCCGGGCCGGAGGCTGCCACCCGCAGCCTTGAAGTCCTTCATCTTGTTGGCGAAGTCGTTGAGGCCCTTGAGCCTGTCGAGGAACCACTTGTCGATCTTGGTCAACTCCCAAATTCTCTCGACAGAGTACCCGGCAGCCATGGCGTTTGCGATGGCGAAGAGGCGTTGGTCAGACGGGGTTTGGAGCTCATCGTCAATCGACATAAGCGCCGGTGTCTCGTTGAAGCCTAGGTTGTGGAAATCAATGGCGCGGATGGCCTTCTGGATAGCTTCCTCGAAAGTTCTACCGATGCTCATGACTTCGCCGACACTCTTCATGGATGAGCCGAGCTGGGTGGAGACACGGGTGAACTTCTTGAGATCCCAACGAGGCATCTTGACCACGACGTAGTCAAGAGAGGGCTCGAAGCAAGCACAGGTGACCTTGGTGACGCTGTTCTTGATTTCCTTTAGAGGGATGCCGAGACCCAACTTGGCGGCAATGAAGGCAAGAGGGTAGCCAGTGGCCTTGGAAGCCAGGGCCGAAGACCGGGACAGTCTAGCATTGACCTCAATGATGCAATACTCCTTGGAGAAGGGGTTAAGCGCGTATTGAATGTTGCACTCGCCGACCACTCCGAGATGGCGGATAACGTTAACGGCCGTCGTCCGGAGCATGTTGTAGTCTTCGTCCGAGAGCGTCTGAGAAGGAGCGACGACGATCGAATCGCCAGTGTGGATGCCGAGAGGATCAAAATTCTCCATGTTGCATACCGTAATGCAGTTGTCCTGGCAATCTCTGACGACTTCGTATTCGATCTCCTTCCAGCCCTTCATACTACGCTCGATCAGCACCTGGGGGCTGGCGGCGAAGGCTTTGTTGCAGAGATCAAGAAGTTCGGCGTCGTTGTTAGCGAAACCGCTGCCGAGGCCACCGAGGGCATATGCGGCGCGGACAATGACCGGAAAGCCAATGTCCTTGACAACCCTCATAGCTTCCTCGACATTGTTGGCGGAGGCAGACTTGGCGCATTTCTCACCAATAGAGTCCATGCTCCGGGCGAACAGCTCACGGTCCTCAGTCGTGATGATGGTATCGATGGGCGTTCCCAAGACCTTGACGCCGAGCGCCTCGAACTCATCCTTGAGCTGGATACCAACCGACAGAGCGGTCTGGCCACCAAAGGTGCAGTAGATGGCATCGGGCTTCTCGTAAAGGATGACCTTGCGAACAAACTCGGCATTGACGGGCAGGAAGTAGACCTTGTCGGCGAGGCCCTTGGAGGTTTGGATGGTTGCAATGTTGGGGTTGATGAGAACGGTGTAGATGCCTTCCTCCTTCAGAGCCTTGATCGCCTGACTACCAGAGTAGTCGAATTCACCGGCCTGGCCGATGCTCAGACCACCACTGCCGAGCACAAGGACCTTCTTGACGGAGACGCGAGGGTGGAGCCTGTTGTTCTCCTCGACAGTGCCGCCGGGGAATTGGACACCCTTCTGCAGCAGGCTGCTGTCAGCGGCGCAGTCGGAGACGGCCTGGATAAAGACGTCAAACAGGAACTCGGTGTCCCTGGGGCCGGGGGTGCTTTCAGGGTGGAACTGCACGCTGAAGTGCGGCCGGTCAAGATGCATTACACCCTCGTTACTGCCGTCGTTGGCATTGACAAACAGTTCCTGCCAGCCGGTGGGAAGAGTGGCGGCATCGACGGCGTAGCCGTGGTTCTGAGAGGTGATGTGGCATTTGCCGGTCACCAAGCTGGTGCAGGGGATATTGTGCCCGCGATTACCAAACTTGAGCTTGGTAGTTTTGGCCCCAGCGGCCCGGGCAAGCAGCTGATGACCCAAGCAGATGCCAAAGATGGGGGTGCGGTTTTCCTCGAGGGCGGCGGCGATGCGCTTGACTGTGGTGTCCAAAATCGCCGGGTCACCGGGACCGTTGGAGACAAACAAGCCGTCGTAGGTCTCGCTGCGGAAGTCATAGTCCCAAGGACAGACTAGGACTTCCACACCGCGCTTGAGGAAGCATCTGAGCTGGTTGTATTTCATACCAACATCGAGACAGAGAATGCGGAGCGGGCGGCCCGAGGAGTGCTTCAGGGCGTTGGTCTCGGACGGTCGGTACAACTTGGGCGCCTTGATAGAGACTAGCAAGGCGTTAGCTTTGTGTGTTCACGTGGAATTCCTTTGCAGTTCCAACTAACCCTCTGCTACGAGGTTCTTCTCGTTGGGGTTGACCCAGCCCATTGACTCGAAACGGGGCCTCCAGTCGCCCATTACGCCCGGGAGTTCGAGGCCGTCGACGTCGTCATTGGCCCCATTGGTCAGGTCCTGTTTCTCTTGAAGCATGCGACCAAGCATGCTTCCCTCCTCTCGAATGCGCTTTGTCAAGGCGCGGGTGTCGACGCCGTACATGGCGGGGATGCCCTGCTCCTTGAGCCATGTCCCGAGGGATGAGTTCGCGAGGTAGTGAGAGAAGTCTTCTCCCGCATATGTGGCCGTGACTAGACCGGCGACGTGGATTTGAGACGACTCGAAGTGCGCTGGAAGGCTGCCGAGGAGCTCGTCGAGGGCTTCCCTCGGGGGCACGCCATAGTTGCCGACTAAGGGGAAGGTGATGACGAGGATCTGGCCGCGGTAGGAGGGGTCCGTGATGGATTCGGGATACCCCACCAAACCCGTCTGGAAGACCAGCTCGCCAGAAATGCTCTTAGGCGCACCGAAGCTGTAGCCCTGGTAGACGGCACCGTCTTCGAGCTCAAGGGCGACCAGTCCTTGAGTCTCGGCGCTGGTGACGCGCGCCGTGGCGGGGCGGAAGAGTGTGGTAGCCATTGCGAGTTTTGTGACTCGAAGAAAAGGGAGGCAAAACCCGGGAAGGAAAGAAGAGGGTAATGGGAAAAAGTATGTGGGTGGTCAAAAAAAAAAAAAAAAAAGAAGGGTGAGCGAGTCCTCAAGGATGGGGATCGGGGAGGTCGCGTGTGGTGGGGGACCGAGAATGTGATGGAGCGGAACTGGAGTCGCTGGACCTCGAAGTTCAGGATCTCGCAACGGTGCTGCCGCAGCAATTGGCTGGAAAGAATGCCAAAAGAGAGGTTGTTTCACCCTTGAATTGTCATGATCCAGCTTCACCAGCCCTTCTGCACAAAAAGGAGAGGAATAGAAGCAGAGGGAGGCAAAAAGGTTGGGTGTTGAAGAAATTTGTATCGTCTCCAAGTGCCCCGCCACACGGCAAAACGATACCTCCCCACCAAACTTTTTTGCAGGGCGGTGATGGGCTAGCGGGGTTCCCAGCGGCCGATGGGGAGCAGCTTTTTCTGTGATTGTCCAATCAGGGCAGCAGGACGCAGTTTGGCGGGGTTGCTGTCGTGGGGTTCTCGACCATGTTCGACCTGTTGAGCAAGGTTCATGCTGCAACCGAGACTGATTTTTGTGACCGCCTGAGATCGGATTTTTCAGGTGCATCTTGCAGCCTCCTACATCGGCATTTGGTGTTTTCGACATGGTCTTTTGATACAGCCTCACTTTCCACCTTCCCACAACAATCGGAACACGAGCTATCCTGAAAAAAATAGCTTTTCTGAATTGAATGAATCCAATATCGATGAAAACGTAGAAATAAATAAACAAGTGGAAAAAGCTTCAGCTCTCTGGCTTAGCTTGTTCGATCCAACTTGGACTCGAACGCCGAATCTTGCAATTGTTGAAGTTGTCGATGTTGACGCTCCCCCGTTGAGCCAGCGGGCCTCGCTGACCTTATTGAATTAAGGGCGTGGGGGCTCGCAGCTAAAACCTTGATGCTGCACCAAAGGAGCGTGGGTGCGGGCCGAGGATGGGTCCTCAACCTAGGTCGGCAGGGACATGGGCGGCGGATGAAGCATCCTCCATGCTCCAGGCTTGCGAGATTTGGAATGCAAGATGCACATACCTGCCAAGTAGCCTTGCCAGATATCGAACCACACTTTGGTGCTTCGTAAAGTTAGATACCTACCGTTCTCTATAAGTGAATGTAACGAATAGTTATCGTAAACAGTAGATCGATAATTTAGGAACTAACATGAATGAGTGTCAATTTTGTTGAATTGTTTTGTTAATTACCTGATTTGACACTGTGCCAGGGATCATTTTTTGAAGCTATGGTTTGCATCGCTCCTTCTCGTCCAGTGTCCTCGACAATTCATGGCAGGCACCTACCCCATCGATTTTTCGCCCCCCATCATCATATTTAGAAGTCTTCGGGCTCACCTTCATGTTTGCGTCACAAAATCTACAGCCACCAGAAGCGCACTGTCCATGGAGGAAAACATCCGGTCGTCTTCGCTAATGCACGGCATGGGCCACGCGGGTTTCCTCTTTCTCCATCCCATTGCTACCCTGCCATCGCATCTCTGGACGAGACATGGGATGCGAGGTGAGGATTACGCTACCGATTCGTCTGTGCGGCGTGGGGGACAAACATCATCAAGACATTCCGTTTGATCCCTCGAGCCCAGTTCTTCGGTTTTTGAGACAGAACGGTTTCATCGTCTCAGATCTGACTTGCATCATCCTAATCGTGTGTTATGTCCGGGACCATCAGAAGACATGATGGCGTTATCTTGCTTGGCAGCAGGTCACTGAAGATCAAGGGCTTCCGCATCAATCAATCTAATGCTCCCGTTCTTAGGTATCTGATTTGGGCCCTTTCGCTGATTCACCCCGCTTCTCGTTTAATATGTTTCAAGTCTCCTTTATTCACATCTGTGCTCCTCCGTTCTCTTCGCCCGATGGAGATAGGAGAGGATCGACAAACCAGGAGGATGGCACTGGATAGGCAGCTTCGATTCGAATGGAGGGTCGGCATGTGGGATGATAGGCGACAACTGCTGCATATCGCCAAATGCAACCCACAGCAGTGTAACCTACCCTGAAAGACCCTGCGCTTTCACCGTCCACCGTCCACCGAAAGTGCGGTCATGCGTTCACCACGATACCTAGAGAGGGGCGCCATGGCGGTATTGGTCGATCCAAGTTGGACAAGCGTGGCCTCGACAGGAGCGGCATGTGGGAGATGGGAGGTGGGAGAAAGGAGGCAGGTTGCCCGCTTGCATCGCGACATGCCGCGTTCCGTCCAACGACGCTATTCCTGCAATGGAGTGGACTTGGTCGCCATCCCAGCAAGGCAGCCTCCTCGCCGTCCTTCTTGGCGGCGCCCACTTTAACGGGCTTGACCCCGCGATTCGCTGCTGCGCGCATGCAACAGCCGCCGCTTCACGCTCCCCTATTCGCCAACAGGCCACCAAGTCAAAGTGTCCAGGTCTGGCGGTGTAGCCTGAATGATGGGAGGGAGGTGGAGGAGGAGGAGGATGGGGCCCGAAAAACCCAAGAGATCTTTCCTCCCTCCTGGTCGAGTCTCTTCCATGATTTTAAAGTTGGCAGCAGCGTGGGAGGGTGTCGGCGTGTTTTAGCGCTGTGCAGGGATTCCCCAGCTGACCCTCCTCACCTTCGTCCTCCCGAGGAACCACCCCCGGCCCATATCAGGCGATCGGTCGACAGATACGGCGGGCCCCCTTATTAGCCCCGTCCCACCACCCACGCTCGCTCCATCCTATCCTTCCTGGCTACTGCCAGTCGCGCTCCACGCGCCTCATTATCTTCTCTTTGGGAGGGTTTTCTGCAGACTTGGAGGGAAGGAGAAAAAGGTAATATGCCTTATTAGGCCATCAATTGTTTCACTCCAAGGCAGTTGTTGTATCGTGGGGCGTTTGTTTTCTTCGGCTTCGACTGTGTAAGCGGACATCGAGATCAGGACGGCGGTACGCGTTGGGAGACCACCAGGGCAGCCATTGACGTCCCAGCACATACCCCGACTGCAGCCCTTCATATTCGACAATTTCCATGGCGTTCATTCGCCGCTGCTAGCACGCCGGGGCACCCCCAACCCGATCAGAGGATGTTGTCTGCCCTACTCCGACCCTTTCAGGGTATCACCTCCCAAGTCGGGGGTTCCACGGACCCCGAGCAAGACGTTGCATCCCGCCCTTCTGTCGCCGAATACCGCAGTCACCTTCATGCCACCGCCGACTTCACCGAGGCCGACGACGACGATGAGGAGGAATCCAACGATGGTGACAGGTCCCGCTACCCGGCCGAGGGACGCCCGGTGGAGGACGAGGATGGCCCGGCTCGGCCTACCGGGCTCTTACCCCTCTTCACCGCCAACCAGCTAGGTGGGAATCCCCCGTTGCTTGTGGTTAAGTCGAGTCGCTGACGCCTGGGTTCTACAGATACGCTCCCGATATACAGCATGACCCACGCCATCCGCATTATTGTTCAAACGAGGACCGAAACCACGCTGAGCTGGGAACAGCTCAGGTCCCCGCAGGTGTCGCAGTTTCTCGTCAAGCCGATGCTGCAGCAGATTCGCACCCAACATTTTTGTCGAGGCACCCTCTACGCTCTGTTAGCAAACTGTCTCCAATTTGAGAAGGAGGGCCAGTTGTACCCTGGAAACGCCGGCACAAGTGCCACCCGGGCGAAGGTGTGCGAACTTCTGGCTGTCAAGCTGCTCAAGGAGTACACGACCCGGGAGCTTATCGATGCGCTCTGTTACGACTTCTACCCCCTCCAGGGCATCCCAGGTTCGCAGACACCTCTCGCGCCAGGGGGGCGACCAAAGCCGGCGACTCTTCGGACCTCAGCCATCGAGGTCGCCATCCGAGCCTCCGCCAAGCAGTTCCTTTCTCACCCCTTGGTGACGCAGCAACTCGAAGCCATCTGGAACGGCGCCATTAGCTTCTCTTCCCCCAGAGAGGAGCCCCAGCACCAGAGCTCCGTGCCGAGTGCGACAGGGAGTAACCAGTCGCGGCGCCAAAGCACTGTTCGTACCCCGTTACTGGGTGATCAGCGGGCTAAAGAGGAACCGCTTCGGTCTCAGTCATTCGCCGCTGGCCGGCGGTCTGTAACCCTATACAACCCAAGGACTGCTTCTATTTTTAGGCTCTCCCGGCTTCGTGTGCCCCGCTACCGGCGACTCTTCTCAACCTGCTCTCTCATGATCTTGATATCTCTATTCCTCGCCGTGTTGAGCCAGAGATCGAGCAAGATCACCAGCTTAGAGCTGCTTTTCTGGTTTTGGAGTGCCGGTTTCATGCTCGACGAGCTCGTCGGGTTTAACGAAGAAGGCTTTTCGTTTTACGCTATGAGCTTCTGGAACATCTTCGACCTTGGCATATTGCTCCTGCTGATCGTTTACTACTGCATGCGCATATACGGCGTGTTTCTTCTTGATCCTCACCAATGGAATCAAAACGCGTACGATGTCCTTGCTGTGAACGCCATCCTTTTGCTTCCGAGGATATTCGGCGTGCTCGACCACTATCGCAACTTCTCCAGGCTTCTGATATCGCTCCGGCTTCTCGCGGTAGACCTGGCTGCAGTCTTTATGCTCGTGCTCATCGGATTTAGCGGCTTCTTTGTCTTCTTTGCGTTCTCCAAGAACCAAGATGACCCTCCAGCGGTAGCCTACAAGATGTTTCAAGTGCTCATGGGATTCACCCCATCTGCATGGGAGTTGTACGTATATCCTGCGAACGAATGCCACCCTGAAAACTGACCAACATTTATAGGTGGCCGTCCTACAGCTGGATGGGCAAGTTGTTGATGGGGCTGTTCCTTGTCATCAGCCACTTCATGATCATGTAAGTGGCAGCCAATAGTGTTCCCTCCCTCACAGCAGGTGGCTAACCCTTCTCAGAACTCTTTTCATCACCGTTTTGGCCAACTCGTTCATGTCCATCGCGTCCAGAGCAAGCGAAGAGTACCAGTAGGTTTCACAGAATAGTTATCACCATCCCGTTACTGACAAGATACAGCTTCAATTCTGCCATCAATACCATTTCGATGGCGAAGAATGACGCGCTTTTCTCCTACGTAGCCCCGGGCAACATTTTCGCTTGGGCTCTCATGCCGCTACGATATTGCATGAGCATGGGGCAGTATGTGCGGTTCAACCGCGCCGTGATCAAAACCACACACTTCCCGCTGCTCCTCTGCATATTTTGTTACGAGAAACTCTTCCTCGCGCCCGAAATGTACGAGGCAACGGATCTTGTTGATAGACTGCGCGGCCGTCCGCATGCGTTCTCGGACCCCGGCGTCTTCAGCCCTAGCGCCCGAGTTCGCGAGGAATCGGTGGTTGGCTATCAAAAGGATCAGGCGCTGGAAGAAGTGTTCCGGCGCGTCCCGGATATGAGGACGCAAAGACGGACCGAGCGACGGAGGACACAAACGGAAATCCGGAGCTGGATGGACCAGTATGAAGGGGGGCTCAACTCGCCGCAGAACTATTCAACCATCGACAGCAGGATAGGCAGTGACTGGCTGAGAAGGCTAAGCATGAACCGAGAGCGGCCGTCAAGGTTCCCAAAGCACTACTCGGACATCAGGTCAACGGCGAGTGACCCTGCCGATTTTATCTTGGATGCTCCCTACCCAATGGCTCCCGCCGTCTACGACGACGGTATTGCCCGGCGGGATTACGCTTTCGAGGTGAAGGAAAATACGGACGCGGATGGGGATGACGAGCTGGTCACCAATGACGAGGATGAAGGAGATGACATGACAAACGCCATGGACGATCTCGGCCCGGTGAGGGAGGATGTCATCGACGAGGACTACTTTACAACCCCGGTTGCCCCCCGGTTCGCGGCCGCTGAGTTACCCGTCGATTCCCCCCGCCCGACAACCTCCCGGCGAGTACCGCTTCACACGCGAACACTGTCGACCAACACGATCCTCTATGCCCCCGAGGAGTCCCAGACGTACAGCTCCTCTTCTGCCTCGGCCCGGCCCTTCTCCCGCCCTCTCAGCACACGCCACACACCCATCGCCACCCCCCTAACACCAGGCGCCGGCCGCCGCTCCCCACGCCGCGCCCTCTACCTCGCCTCCCGCCCGCGTTCCATGATCCAACCGTCGACGGCACCTCACCGCAGCACCGGGGGGCTAACACTAGACATCCCCAACACCGGACCGGGCAACGGCCTGCCCCCAGCCCGCCGGCGTTCCCTCGCGGACCTACTCATGACGCCCACCGCGGGCGTCCACAACGACACACCCACCAGGGACAGAGACAGGGACAGGGAGAGGGACGCGCTCAGCCAAGACGACGCGCGCAGCAATAGCACCGATGTAGACAGACAAATGCTCGCGCGCATGCAGTCCCTCGAGGCGAGCTTGGGCCACATGGTGCGCGAGATGCGTACCCTAACAGGAGCTCCGGGTGGTGGCGGTGGCGGTGGCAGGCGCCGCAAGTCGGTCCCAGGTTTGGCTGCCGCGTGGAATTCGGACGAGGGCATTGTCGCGGCGGGCGCTGCGAATGCGCGCTCGTCGTGGGGACGCCATCATGCCCAGCAGCAGTATCAGCAGTACCAGCAGCAACTGTATCAACAACATCAGCACCAGCAGTATGCGGACAGGGGGCGGGTGGTGGTAGGGTCGGATCCGAGCTCGGTTTCGGGGCCGGCGCTGATCGAGGTTGCTGCTGGGCGGGAGAGGGATGTGGACAGAGATAGGGAGAGGGAGAGGTTGGGGTTGAGTGGAGGAGGGAGCAGGCGGATCCGGGCTGTTGTTGGGGGAGGAGGAAGTGGTGGTGGTGGTGGTGGTGGGACTGGTGGGTATGCTGCAACTACGCCCACGGTGAGAAAATCTGCGACGATGACGCCCGGAAGGAGGGCTGGTATTTGGCGGAGTCCGAGGGGTGAGGGACCCGGCGCTGCTGGGCTGGGGATCAAGGGCACGGTGGGAGGGAAGGAGAAGGAGAAGGGGAAGGGGAGGGAAAAGGAGAGGGAGAGGGCGGGTGCTAGTCCCCGCACGGAGATGGGACTGTCGCCGCCGGGTCGGGACGATGAGGAGGGGGTTTCTACGAAGGGCCTATCGCTCTAGGGGTTGGAGGTGCTGGGGGTGGGGAAGTGAGGAAGCGGGTTTTTTGAGGTCATGACGGCGTTATGCAGCATGGTTGGTCTCATCCTTACTTTTTGGCATGGTGCGGGTTGGGTTGCATTGGGCGGCGTTCTATGCATTTACTGGTCTCCCTGCTCCATGTGTGCGGATGGCGAGCGGTTGGTGCTGGCGGCATTTTGATAGGTACGTTAGCACGTATGTCATGGATGGATGGTATGATGTGTGATGGGCACGGTGGGCAGCGAGTCTCCCCGTCTGTGGCGGGGCTGGTCGCAGGTTCATGTTAAAGAAAAATGCGTAATGCTGAGCTTTTGCTGGCTTGCTTTTCATGTGGTTTAATGCTTGATACGGGTGCATCGTTTGCTATGTTGTGGTTCGATGCGCATGTGGCAGATGCCTGCCTGCCTAGGCTGTCCATTCTTTGCCAAAGCAAGAAACACCCTGTTTAGTATACTGATACGCTCTTATTGTAGCCATTCGGCATGATCCAACCCGCTCTCCGTCATCCTTGGTATATAGTCCTATGCACCCGACCCTCCCATGGCCATGATTCTAACACATGAATACACCCAATGCAAACAACTCATCATGCTATCACCCCCCCACACAGAAATAACCCCCCCGAAAACCCCCACAACCCAACTCACGTGCCTTCATCATAACCACCTAGGTAGTTCACAGGCCCCCGCCGCTACGCTCGACGCTGACGTAGCGGTTCCCAGGGATGCTCTTCTGGCGCAGCTCGTTCTCGCGGAAGGAGCGCGCGACGTGGCGAAAGCCAAAGCAGACGCCGACGATGGCGATGCCGGCGGCCGTTAGCCGTGGGTGGCGGCTGTGTTGGGTGTCAGCGCGTGTTCTTTTAGGACGGCTTCTCTCATTTTCTCTTTTGAAGGGCGGGCGTGGAGGTTTAGGGACGGTGGATGGGGGTGGTGAGAGTGATGGTGATGAGGTCGCTTTGGGGGCAAGCAAGACCTGGCTGCAGACGAAAGAGCCACCTACGCAAAGACACGGAGAGGGGAGGACGCTGGTGAGGGCGTCGGGGTCGGGCGAGATGTGTTTGAGTTGGCCATGGTATCGTCGTAGTGAGTTTTTCGTGTGGTTTTCAGGTGATAGATGTTTTTTTTTCAAGAATTTGGTAGTTGTAGGAAGGTGAAAAGTTCAGGTTAGGTAGATAGATGTCGTCGGGTTTACATAGCGGTGAAAGATGCCCGCTCGGATGAGTTACCTAATGCAATTTCTTCTTGGCGCCTAACTGACAAACGACAGATAAATACCTAGGTAGGTAGTCAGGTCTAAGCAGAAACTTAGGTGTTATATGTATGTGCAAACAGACGGTTGTGGTCGCGTGACAGGCCACAGCGCTACGTCAAGCCCCCTTCGGTGAAGCGGTGCTAACAGCCCGCCACGATAAGTGTTGCAGGGATGTTGCTCCAGGCCAAGGCGGCTCCATAAATCTCGCTTGGCTGTGGGCCAGTCAGGGCCGAGAACGTGCTGAAAGCTTGGACCATTGAGCTTGGTTGTCTTGGTTGTCAAGTTCCATGTGCAGCAGCCATGCCAAGTCCATCAACAAGCAGCAAGGCGAGCTCGGTGGCACCCCGCTGGGTTAGACTCGGCTTTGCGAAACTTCGAAGCTCCACACGCGTCCTCAGTTAGGTCTCTTCCGTAGTTCTCATGACGAATTCAACACTTTAACCCGCCGAGCCCGCCATAGGGGGAAGATGGCAAGGTACCGAGTTTCCATCCGAAGGCAGCATCTGAATCTTGGCTTGATCTCCACGCCGCGTTTGAGGCAGGGGCAGCCCCGATTGGCTTGTCAATTAAATACTACCTGTTTTGACATGGGACGGTTTCTCTTTTGCGCTTCCAGTAACCTCGACTGGGTGACGCGGCATGGCCATTGGAAAGAACAGCCCGTCCTCATTAGGCATCACTGGAGTCAGCTTTAGGTTTTTATGGTTGCAGCTGATCTTGATTCGACATCCGCGATGATCACCCGGAGAAAAAAAAGAGGTGCTCAGGAAGAGTATCTTGGCTCGGGCCTCGTGGTTACCTACGTAAGGTACCAATTGGACTCTCTAGCGAATACCGAAATACCACGACAATTTTATAGGCAGGTATGCAATTGATAGGGTATAGATTTACACTTACCACAGTAGGTTACTCAGTTACCAAGCGGCATACCTATGACAAACAGTGTGACAGCTGCGTCACCCTTCTTTCATGGCCACTGATTGGATCTGCAACCTCAATAACTCTCGGGGCTCTTCGCAGTTGGGCAGTTGGACCGGCAACTTGGTGGCGCAGCCTGCAAAGAACCCCCCAATCTAGCTTTGGAGTCACCTCACCCCTCATCTTCATAAGGAGAAACCTCAAGTCTCTGACCAACAATATGACTTTGGCATTTCTCTCCTGCCATGGCCCCCAAGCTTCCAGTGTCTGCAGATCCGAGCGGCCAATAGCGTCGCCCTTTTCAGACCAAACACATCGTTTGAGAAACCACAAGGCTGCCTTGGATGCTCTACTCTACTGGGTGCTTGCAGATTTAGTTACGTGGTTTGCTGGCCAGGCTGTGTGCTCAAATAGGCGCTCCGCCGATTCACTCTACTGCCTATCTACCTGACCTACCTGCCTTACCACCCACCTACCTTCCATACCATTTTACCAGTACCTTACCTTGCTCAAACTTGCTTCACTTACCTTTCTTCTCCCGCAACCCAGCACCGCGCCTCTTCCTCTCGAATTCATTCTACCATCTCAAAGACCACATCTAGTAAACTTCAGTCGGGAGTACTTACTTCCAAGTCCCCAGAATCGTCATCTTCGAACGCGCGTGTGGTCCAAATCCAAGACTTTGAGGATGGATCCATCCTCCTCCCCGGCCGCGGCCGTTTCTTTTCCATTCACTTCAGTTGCCGACAATAGCGGATTAAGCCAGGCCACGGCGAATGCCATCGAGACTCACTTGATGGAACTCTCGGCGACTCGGAGCCCAGCCACGACTGACAGGCAAGGCACAGTACTCGCCATCGTAACTTTCCCCAAAGATGACAGCTTGAGAATGGCCTGCGACGGGAAACGGTGGTGCCAGGATATCCAGCTCCGCATGAGCTACGACAAGCTCATCAGTCTGGAATCTAAGAAAATCGACGACATGTTCACACCTAGGGCGCAGGCCCGCTTCCGTCGACGGCACGGCTTCGAGCGCGAGTTGCCGCGCGGCATCAAATTCATTCTGGATTTCACTCCGCCAGCAGAAGGGGCCGAACTGGCCGAGCTCACCGCGGCACTGTGGCTGCCTCAGATGGTCAAGATCTGGTTTTTGGCTGGTCAATATTTCCCCAATCCCATTATCGAGCAGGCCATCGGGCATCCTAGTCGCCCCCTAGCCGACAAGGCTGTGGGCGCGATACTCACTCTCGGTCACGACGATGTCTGCAAGAACCTCGCATGTACGTACGGCCACGCACAGGCAGCATCTATCGGTGTTGTCCATCTTCTCCCGCTAACTGTACGTGCAGGCCTGACAGACTACACTGAGTGGCAAGGCAAGGACTGGATTCCCGGCATCGTCGACGATCTGGGCCCCGGCCCGAGCCATATCCCCGCCTGGCGCAGGGTAGAAGACTACTGCCCGATCCGGCACCGGGTCGCCATCGTCCGGGTGCTCAGGGCCATCAACGGCGATGGCCTTCTCCTAAACTCGGCTGTGCGCCTGTGGACCGTTGCCCAGGTGGCCATCGCTCTCGAGGTGCCACAGGTTGTCGTCGACCCCGTCACCCAGTGGCTTGTGGCTCCTCCAAACACCAAATTCATCGAGATCTGCCCGGAGATCGCTTTCCGGCTGGCTTACGCACTCAAGATCCCGAGCGTCCTGACCACCGCTTTCAAGATCCTCGTCAACGAACTTGCCGTCGACTACGCCTCGTCAGACCCGGTGACTTCCAAGCCTCCGATGACCTGGGCCCAACGCCGCCGGGATGAATACGGCGACTACCCTTCCGATCCGGTCGAGTATGCCAGCCGCGCATTTGCCGAACGCATGGGCGAAACGCTCAAGATGCTCCAGTCCGACGACGTATTTAATAACCTCCCAAGTCCCATCTTAGAGTGGGAGAAGCTGCAAGCCTACGGCGCCACCATCACTGCTATGTTCGCGCCCAGCCACCCCCTCTTAACTGCTTACAGCAACCTGACTGCCGCCCTCCTCGCTACCTTCCATGGATGGGTCGACAACGCCCTCAACCTCGACACGCTCAATACCTCGCACAGGCTCAGCGACGACCTCCTCGAGGCCCAGCGCAAACACTACGTCCCTAGCATCATCCGCAAGCCCCTCGTCGGCCTCTACTGGACCCTCAACCCCACGCAAAAGCTCCTTACCCCATTCTTCTGGAACCAACTGATTTGGATCCAGCCCTACGATCAGATCATCAAGACCCATCACCATGGCACGCCCCTCGTGGATCACGCCGAGAAGTTCAACCTCGAACTGCAGCGCGCCCTGACCGAAGCGGTGGCGCCCACCATCGCGTACCCCTACGATCCCGCCACCATGGACCCCATCGAGCACCGGCGCGCCTTCATCGACAGCACATCAGACCTCAACGGCCCGGCAGCCACCAACCCCCTCGTGGCCACAGCGCTCGCCCAGACACCCGCGCGCCAGCTGATCCCCGAACTGGTCGCCTTCAACCCAGCCCGCTTCTTCCACGAGCTCAGCCGCGAGACGCGGGCCCTCGGCGGCCGCCACCTGCCCAACCACTCGGTATGGATGCGCGACAACGAGTCCGCCACCAGCATCCCGCTCTTCCTCTCGGACCACCACCTCCTCTCCCTCGACGACCGCGAGCTCGGCTACCTGCCCATCTGGGCCGACGGCCTCGACGACGGCACCGGCGGCGTCTTCCAGGACCACGTCCCCTCCACCGACATGGGTCCCTCCGAGCCCGGCCCAGCCTACCACACCGGTCACACCACCGCCGGCACCGCCACCGTCGGCACCACCACCGACGCCGCCCCCGCCTCCACCATCGCCCCCTCCGACCTCGGCGTCGCCAACCTCGCCCTCAGCAGCCACCACACCAACACCAACACCACCACCACCAACCGCACCGACGATTGGGTCATGAGCAGCAGCACTCCCACCGCAGGCCGCAGCCTGGCCGCCCACCGCAGCGGCACCGCCACCAGCGGCACCATGGAAGGGGAGCGGAGCACCCGTGGCGCGACGCCGACCCCGTCGGAGGCGTTCACCATGGGGGGGGAGGACGAGGATGGGTTATATGCGGACGCGAGGTATGCGCAACCGGCGGGGCATCAGGGGCAGGGGCTGGCGATTGAGAGGTATGTGGATGAGGTTGATGGGGAGGGGGAGGGGGAGGGGGGTGGGGGTGGTGGGGATGGGTTTGAGTGGGATTCGGATGGGATGGAGTTGGATTTAGATGAGGGGAGTGAGGATGAGGATGGGGATGAGGATGATGGGAGTTCGACGTTGGATGGGTTTGAGGATGTGGATGTGGATGGGGATGGGGATGGGGATGTCGAGGTGGAGGATGCGCGGTGATTATGAGGTTGGGAGGGGGAGGGGGGGGTTGCCGTTTCTTGGGTGGGTTGATGGGTGACGGGACGGTTCGGTACGGAATGGGATAACAATTGGGACTGGCGTTCAGGGGCATCTTTTTCTTGATGGATGGGCAGGATTCGGCTTGGTTCATCTTTTGACTTCTTCACATTCTTTGTCTCATCTTTATTCTCTTGTGTATTTTCTATTTTACATCTTTCTCTCATAGACTCGGGAGAGCCATTCTAAAAGCAACCAAAAGGAATACAGCACACGATGATGACGCGCGTATATCGCTGCCCAAGCTATCCATATCACGCGTGCTTGGGAATCTAAATAATTTGAAGTCCAGGATAGCATTCACCGCCAGTAAAGTTGCAGCAGGCGGCACATACTCTTTACACATCGCCATAATATTGTACATGATGACATGTATTCAGCCTGAGCTTCACATCCACCACCCACTCCCACACGCACCCCACTACCCCCGATTCAGGGTATTCCCGCTCCCCTTCGGATTCGCCTCGACAAACTCGTCCCACTCGCGCGCCTTCATCGTCTCAGCATCCGCCTTCTCAATATCATCCTCGTCCGGCTCGGGCCGATGCCAACTCGCCTCGCCGCCGCCCTCTATGATCCCCCCGCGCGCCCGCTCCTCGTCCAGGTACTCGTCGATGGTCATGGTTGGCAGGTTGTGGCCCGGCCGGAACACGCCCCGCGCCAGCTCCTGCCGGTTGCCCAGCAGCGTGAACGGCTGCAGCGGCTTCCCCTCCCGCGAGAGCAGCGGCCCGCCCCGGCCCAGGCCCCCGCTCAGCGGCTGGTCGAGCCGCTCGCTGTAGCTGTCGTGTTTGTTGTTGTCGCCGAGCCCCCCGGCCGTGTAGCGCTGTCTGCGGCGGGCGTCGTCGTCTTCTGCTGCTGCTGCTGCTCCTCCGCGCGGATCAGAGCTGCCGTCGGTTTGTGGGGGTGGTGCGAGTGCCAGGATCTCGCACTCCCGGTTGAGACCCTCGAGCGCCTGGAAGGTCATGTGGGTGCTGTAGTGGAGGTGGGCGAGGTGGACGTCGCGCACGGCGTCCTCGTCCCCGCCGATGACTCCGCCGCTCCGGTCATCCTCGGTGCCATACTCTGGTCGGCGGCGGAGATATTCTAGCTTGGTGCGGAGCTCTTTTTCTGTCTTGAAGTTGGCTATCTTGGCGTTACGGCGGGCTTCGGGGTCGGAGGCGGATACGGTGCTAAAGGTGGTGGGCGCGTCGGTGTATTGCTCGAAGGTTTTCTTGTGGGTGGGTGATAGGATGTCGTAGCTGTCGAGGAGGTGGAGATAGCGTTCGTAGGCGTCGCGGGCGGCGGAGAGGATGCGTTTGCGCTCTTGGGGTGACGAGGAGGGCAGTCTTTGGGAGACCTCAGCGAGGTGGAAATTTATCAGGAGAAAGGGTAGGTCGCTGGTTGACAGGTCCTCGAGTGACTCGTTTGGGCTAAAGATGGACAGAGCGCCAATGAGAGTAAGGCAGTCCCGGTAGAGTTTCACTGCCGAGGATACTGTGTCGGCGTATTGTGTCGAGTTTGGGGCGAATGGGGAGTTGGATAGGGCAAGGCGTTTGGATTCTGCATCGGCGAACAGGACCTTGAGTGACCGAGGATCGTCGTCCATGGCTATAACTTTTGAATTATAGTCGTCGGGATAGGTGAAGTGGCGGAATCAAGGTTGCCGTTAACAAAGTTGAGCAGAGAATACACAGTTAGATTAGGTGGTTTCAATCTGTCTTGTGGTTACGGTTACAGTAATGGGGCCCGGGGGTTTGGATGGCCTTATCTTATCGTAGCTCTGCGATGGCGGGGTATTTTCTCCAGAACAGAAGTGGGGTTAAAGATTCAAAGCATGCCAAGTAGATAACTCTAACCAATCCCTGCCTTATTGGCTCTCCTGCCCTCCCAATACGTAACTAACTTACAGTGCGGTCAATTGGTGGTGTCGTTCCATCTCATCCAATATTCTAACTTGCGTCTTCTCGAAGCCGGTATTTTCTCGGCTCCCCATGAGAAGTTTAACCCTCTGCTGTTCACACCTACGGCCCGTGTTTGCTCGAGGATTACGAACTTTGCCTGTCCCAAGAATGGCGCTCTACCCAAACCAAGATGGGGACAAACTAATATGTAGGTCATCATTAATTATTAATTCCTTCGCTTACCCAGTTCATCAACCCATCCCCAACATCGCTAGCCCGCCTTCCTGAACTGCTCACTCACACTTCTTTGCTCACTTCCCACAGTTGCTCCCGCAGGCGCACCCCAATCTTTCGAAATCTCCATCGTCCCAACTCAGGCGGGCCAGTTCCTCAAAACTGAGCACCTCGGTGGCCTGAAGCGGACCGACCTTTCCCCCGACGACCCCATCCGGCAGTTCCATGCTTGGTTCGACGAGGCATCCCAGCCCGGCTCAGGGGTCCCACACCCAGAGTCCTGCACTCTCTCCACGGCGCAGCTTCCGTCAGGTCGTGTGTCGGCCCGCATGGTGTACATGAAAGAGCTCGACGCCAGGGGGTTCGTCATCTACAGCAACTTCGACACGAGCGGCAAGGCCCGGGACTTGTTCGGGACCGAGGACGGCTCGAGCACCGGGAACCCCTGGGCGTCGCTGGTGTTCTGGTGGGAGCCGCTGGAGAGGCAGATCCGGGTGGAAGGGAGGGTGGAGCGGCTGCCCCCTGCAGAAAGCCAGGCGTATTTCGATACGCGGGTGAGGGGGAGCCGCATAGGGGCCTGGTCAAGCCGGCAGAGTGCGGTGCTACGACCAGATGCGAACGTGGAGGGCGACGACGGCCGGACGATGCTGGACAATTGGGTCAAGGAGACCGAGGCTAAATTTGAAGGTGCCGACCATATACCCGTTCCTGAGTTCTGGGGTGGGCTGAGGATCGTACCTGAGCGTGTTGAGTTCTGGCAGGGGCGGCAGAGCCGGTTGCATGACCGGTTTGTGTATGACCGTACTAAGGGGAAGGATGGAGGCGATAAATGGACACTGGAGAGGCTCAGTCCATGATGGTGGGCCTCAACTACCTACCCAAGTATCTGTCTGATGTTCAACACTCACCCGGATTCAAGCGACGGTTTGATGAGCCAATTCTTCCGATACCACACTTACCGTTAAGCGAGTTCTAACGTCGTGAGTCGATAATTGTGAGTCTTATTCAGTACCTTATCTCTCCCCCGCCTCTGTACCCGAAGTAGAAGCTGGGCAACATCACACAACCTTGAAGCCGCGAACCGGAGCCTCTGAGTTGGGTTATCGAAGGCACTGGTAGGCCTCAGCTCCGTTTGTATTTTTATTTCACCTATTTTATTTGGCCTGTCAGGATTCCTCTTCCACTTCATCTTCGCTGGAAGCCTGCAGCTGCTTCCAACAAACTTTCTGGACCCAAACTCCGACCCCATTCGTCATTCATTCACACATCTCTCTCCCTCTTTCTCTCACACACACATTCACATAACTCAACCAACCCGCTCCCCTCGCTCCTTCCATCGAAAATTACCACTATATCTCTGATATTCCTAGAATGAATTAATTGGTAGCCCGAATCGATACAAAATCTCATCCCCTTCCTTTTCTTGCCCGCCTACATTCTCGCCCAAAATTGGCACACTCCTGCTCTGCACCACCACAACGATGAACGCAGAAATGAGAGAGGGCTCGTCGGCACTGCCACAATTGCAAGCGCATTCTCCAGTGGCCGATAATATTGACTTGATGGATATCGATGAGCCAGCTTCGAACGGCTCATTTGAAGAATCCCCTGCCACTCCCTTCGACGATGATGCTTTCGTCAACGCTGGGGATACCGACCAAGAAGATGATGACCCCGATACCAAGAAATGGATAGTCAACGATTCGCGGAAGCCGCGCAAGATCTCCGAGAAGAAACGAGCAGATCATGCCGCCTTTGACGTGTGGATTGAGGAGAACCAGCAGGACCTTTCTAAAGGCCTTGATAAGTTTATTGTCGACGACGACGGCAAGACTTTCCAGTCGCTGATCAGGGACTTTGAAAACAAGCGCATCATCACCAGCCCCCGTGACTACCAGCTCGAGCTTTTCGAGCGGGCAAAGACGCAGAACACCATTGCCGTACTCGATACGGGTAATACTTTCTTTGGAATGTTGAGTTCTTGGGCTTCGTAGCTAACGCTTTCCAGGCTCTGGCAAGACCCTAATCGCAGCCTTGCTCTTGCGGTGGACTATTCAGAATGAGCTGGAGGACCGGTCTAAACGTCTTCCGAAGCGCATCGCTTTCTTCCTCGTTGACAAAGTTGCTCTCGTGTTCCAGCAACATGCGGTCCTAGCTTGCAATCTAGACTACCCTCTAGAGAAGTTCTGCGGCGACATGGTCGAGGATGTGACCCAAGATTTCTGGCACAAGACCTTCGACGAGAATATGGCCATTGTCTGCACGGCTGAGATTCTCTACCAATGCCTCACCCACTCTTACATCCGGATGGACCAGGTAAATCTTCTGGTCTTTGATGAGGCTCATCACACCAAAAAGAATCATCCATATGCTCGTATCATCAAAGACTTCTACGCGGAAGTGAAGGATCTTAATAAGAGGCTGCGCATCTCTAGGCCATGACAGCCTCTCCTGTCGATGCTCAGATCGACCCAAAGATTGCTCGCTCGCCTGAGCTTGAAGGTCTCCTTCACAGTCAGATCGCCACCGTGGCTGACCCGACCGCTCTTCACAACAGCTCAACCAAACTGAAACGCGAGGTGACGGTCGAGTATGGCAAATGTTTGCCCGAGTTTGAAACAGGACTCAACCGGGCCCTGAAGGACCTCGTCGGTGAACACCGCTTGTTCCAGAAACCTTTCGCCTTCACTGCCACGGCGGCCTCTGAGCTTGGCCCCTGGTGTGCCGACCGGTACTGGCAGCTGTTCTTTCGAGGGGAGGAAGTGGTCAAGCTGGAGGCCAAGACAGAGAGAGAGATTCTCCGTAAATCCGCGTACAGCCAAGAAATAGCCGCGCAGGTCAACAAGGTGCGGGAGGCGCATAGGCTGGTGGGCCAGCACGAGTTCGCATCCCCAAGCTCCGACCTACTATCGTCCAAAGTCGTCATACTATTGAGGATTCTCCGAGGTGAATTCCGTGGCGTCGACCACAAGCGGCGATGCATTGTTTTTGTCAGGCAGCGGAACGTGGCTTCACTCCTGACCGACCTACTGCAGCAACCAGAGATGAGAATCCCAGGCCTCGAGCCCGGTATTCTGGTAGGACGCCTGAGTGAGACTAGTTGGGAGTTGTGATGCTGACGGAGGACAGGTCGGGGGCGGCCGCCCCGAGGCGAGCTACGACAACGCCAAAGTGACATATCGTGACCAGGTTTTGACCATCATCAAGTTCAAGAAGGGCGAGCTCAACTGCATCTTTGCCACCTCGGTCGCCGAGGAGGGGCTCGATATCCCTGACTGCAACGTCATCATAAGATATGACCTCAACAATACCCTGATCCAGTACATCCAGTCCCGCGGGAGAGCTCGCCAGGAAGGCTCGATATACATTCACATGGTTGAATCGGAAAACGAAGAACATGTAAAGAAGGTATGCCAAAACCAAGAGAGCGAAGATGCTCTCCGAAAGTTTTGTGAGGCCCTGCCGGCAGACAGGAAGCTCACGGGAAACAACTTCGACATGGAGTACTTCCTGCGCAAGGAAAAAGACCAGAGGCAGTATACCGTCCCGGAAACCGGTGCGAGGCTCAATTACAAGCAGAGCTTGATATGCCTGGCAGCCTTTGTAGCCTCGCTCCCGCACCCGCCCGAGGTCAATCTGACCGCCGGCTACCTCGTCCTGTCGGTCCCAGGGGGCTACCAGTGCGAGGTGACCTTACCGGAGTCATCTCCCATCAGGAGTGCGACTGGGAAGGTGTATGCGAGCAAGGCGGTGGCCAAGTGCTCGGCAGCCTATGAGATGTGCCTCATGCTGATCAAAGGCAAGTATCTCGATCAGCACCTGCGGCCCACCTTCACCAAACAGCTCCCTGCCATGCGCAACGCCCGGCTCGCTGTCAGCTCCAAGAAGAAGGAGCAGTACAAGATGCGCATCAAGCCCGAGCTGTGGTCTGTCCTGGGCGAGCCTACGGAGCTTTTCGCCATGGCACTGACCCTGGCGGACCCCACCGCCCTCGCCCGTCACTCGTCTCCGCTCCTCCTCTTGACCCGGCAGCCGATTCCGCAGATTGCTTCATTCCCACTCTACTTTGGAAAGAACCGCTCCTCGGCAGTTCACTGTGTCCCGGTACCCGGACGGGTGGAACTCGATGACAATCAAATCCAAGGGCTGGTCGCCGTTACCTTGGCCATCTTCAAGGACATATTCAGCAAGGAATACGAAGCCACAGCTGCCCAGCTGCCGTACTTTCTCGCTCCGACGCTGATGCAACACGGCTCCGATTTTACGTCTGTCACCGACCTAAGCCGCATTGTCGATTGGGGCGCAGTGACGTTCGTTCGGGACAACGAGCGCGTTGCGTATGCTTTGGACGACGAGGCGGACGAATTCTTCAAGAACAAGTATGTTGCTGATCCGTACGATGGTTCTCGGAAGTTCTTCCTGCGAGGCCGCCGCCACGATATGAAACCAACCGACATGGTCCCCGAGGGCATCGTTACCCCGGGCCACAGGGCCTGGCGCGTATCGTGCAAGACGCACGATATTCTCAACTACAGCCTCAGCGCGTGGTCAAAGTCACGGGCCTTCCTCACTCCGAGGGAGGACCAACCAGTTGTCGAGGCCGAGGTATTGCCCATCCGCCGCAACCTCTTGGATGACCACATCGGGGACGATGACCTAGAACCGAAGCCATGTTTCATCGTCTTGGAGCCCCTGAGGATCTCACCGGTAAGTGCAATCATATGGAGTTGATGAACCAATTCTGACCAGGTTAGTTGCCGGTGGACCTGGTTGCCATGGCGTACAACTTCCCGGCCATCATGCACCGCATCGACTCGAACCTTGTCGCCCTGGAAGCCTGCAAAATGCTCAATCTTAATGTTCGTCCGGACCTTGCGCTCGAAGCGTTTACCAAGGATAGCGACAACTCGGGCGAGCACGATGCGGAGCAGATCAGCTTTCAGAGCGGCATGGGCAACAACTACGAGCGGCTGGAATTCCTCGGGGACTGCTTCCTCAAGATGGCCACCACCATCTCTATCTTCACCCTCATTCCCGACAAGGCCGAGTTCGAGTACCACGTCGAGCGCATGCTTCTGATCTGTAACCGCAACCTGTTCAACAACGCGCTCGAGGTCAAACTCGAAGAGCACATCCGCTCCATGGCTTTCGACCGCCGGAGCTGGTACCCGGAGGGTCTGACGCTGAAAAAGGGCAAGCGCAAAGACCTCACGCGCCAGCACGTCCTCGCGGACAAGACCATCGCCGACGTCTGTGAGGCGCTCATTGGCGCGGCCTACCTGACAGCCCAGGAACAAACGCCGCCCAATTTTGACCTCGCCATTCGCGCCGTCACCGTCATGGTCAAGGACAAGAACCATACCATGACGTCCTACTCGGACTACTACGCCGCCTATTCCCCACCGGCGTGGCAGACGGCGCCGTGCAACTCGACACAGCTCGACATGGCGGCGCGCTTCGAGGCCCGCATGGGCTACGCCTTCACGCACCCACGCCTGCTGCGGTCCGCCTTCCAACACCCGACCTACCCGTCCGTGTACGAGAAGCTGCCCTCATACCAACGCCTCGAGTTCCTCGGCGACGCCCTCCTCGACATGGCCTCAGTCGAATTCCTCTTCCACCGCTTCCCGGGGGCCGACCCCCAGTGGCTGACGGAGCACAAGATGGCCATGGTCTCCAACCAATTCCTCGGCTGTCTCGCCGTCTACCTCGGCTTCCACCGCGCCATCAGCTACTGCGCCTCGGCCATCCAAAAAGAAATCACCGAGTACGTCACCGAGATCGAAGACGCCTTGCAATCGGCACGCGACGACGCCGTCGCCCGGGGACCTCCCCGCCGAGTCCTTCGCGCGCGACTTCTGGGTGCGCTGCTCGCGCCCGCCCAAGTGCCTCCCGGACGTGGTCGAGGCCTACGTCGGCGCCGTGTTTGTCGACAGCCGCTACGACTTTGCGCGCGTCCGCGCCTTCTTCGCCGACCACGTCCGCCCCTTCTTCGAGGACATGCGTCTGTACGATGCTTTCGCCAACAAGCACCCCGTCACTTTCCTCGCGGGCATCATGCAGGGCCGCATGCGCTGTGCCGAGTGGCGGCTGCTGGTCAAGGATCTGCCGCCGGTGGTGGGGGCGGGGGCGGGGACGGAGTTGGAAACGCCCCAGGTGGTGTGTGCGGTGCGGGTGCATGGCCTGACGCTGGCGCATGCGGTCGCGGCGAGTGGGAGGTATGGCAAGATTGCGGCGGCGAAGAAGGCGATCCAGGTGCTGGAGGGGATGGATGCGGAGGCGTTTAGGAAGGCGTATGGATGCGCTTGTGTGCTGGGGGAGGAGGAGCAGCAGGCGGCGGTGGGGGAGGGGGGGGAGG